AGGACCGCATGTGGCACGAGATGCTGGACAAGCTGGGCACATTTGACTTTCCCGTGCCGACGTTGGTGGCACCCACCTTACCCAAGATGAGCATAGTGAGTGACAATTAGCGTCTCTACCTCGTACTCACAACTGACCAACAAACCTCCTAAACCAGATGAACAATCGCTGTGTAAGGGATGTGTAACTTAGCTCATGTGGCCATAGTCTTCCCCTGGTCATTACCCAGACTTGAGACTGGCATACAGTTCAATGAATTGGGCCGAATGGAGCGTCGTCGGCCCTGGCATTGAATACCGAACATTTCGCCGGGCCTCCAGTTGGTGCGGAATATTCACACCCAGATCGTTCGATGAATGACTCCCGAACTGGTCCCGCTACGCGCATACTCACTAGCACTGGTGACGCTAGCTACCTCGTGGTATATATATCAAGGCTGCTAACTTTGAGAACGGGAGCCGTTTCGCACCGATTAGTTTTCATGCGTCACCTCAGCGCGAGGTGCACATGTTTATCTCTCGGCATCAACGATGTGTAAACGACGGACTACTGACGAGTGGGAACGAGAACTACCATGACATAACAGCTTGAAGCCCGTGTGGTGGGATCCCAAGGCGAACAGAAGCAGAACTCGATGACGGCATAGACCATATGTTGCGATGATAAAGCTGCGGTAAATCGGGCATAAGAAGTAGGTGCAAGCAGGTGTAAGTAAAGTAAACAACTACGTGGTTATAGAGGAGATAAACGGAGATTTGAAAGCGCCCCCCGACTCGACCGGCGCGCCACCGCGTCAAGTGCCCAGGCAATCGAACTGCCTGCTCCCAACGCTTGTCCCCCTCTTCCACGACCTCCTGTCACTGCGCACACCTCGTCCGTCGCGTCCGTCCCGCCCGCCACTCCCCAGCAGCCTTGCGATGACGGCGTTCCTGCCGCTCGAGGCGGCCACGCCGTTACCGCCCTCGCCAGCGTTTCTTGTGCCTTCGCCCGACCCCGCCAGCCACATGAAGCGGGTCGTCAAGGCTATTCTTAAGGCGCGCCGCATAGCAGTCGTTTGCGGTGAGTGGCGAGCATATGAGATGCCTGGTGCGCTGTTGGCTTACTGGACGCGGCGCTGTAGGTGCTGGTATCTCTGTCCAGGCCGGTATCCCTGACTTCAGATCTTCTGAGGGCCTGTTTCAGTCGTTGAAGAAGGACCATCCGACGCTGAGCTCGGGCAAGGACTTGTTCGATGCGTCGGTGTTTAATGTGAGTCCTACATCTGGCTGTGGAGCTTGCTGCAGAGGTCGTCATGGTCGTCGCCATTCATCGTCGTCGCAACCCCTCGCAACGCGGCCGCGCAGTTCGCCTCATGCTGGGATGGCACACGCAAGTATTGTGGCCCGAGGCAGAAATCCGAAGAACCACCCATGTGGCCACGAGCACATTGTTTTCTAGGGTCATCGTTGCCGGTGCCTTAAGGGGAGGGACTGTGAGGGTTTAATTTACACCCCCTTCGATGGCATGGCCTATCGTGAGCTCGATCATACGCAGCGCAGACCTCTCTGCATCCGTTGCTTCACGGCCAGCGTCGTGCAAAGTTAATGAACTCACCCCCATGCATCTAGTCGGAAGACACTACTTCGTTATTCTGCCAAATGATCGCGCAGCTTTCACAATTGTCGGATGCTGCCCAGCCCACGGCTTTTCATCGATTCCTCCGTATCCTCGACGAGCGCCGGCGCCTTCTACGAGTGTACACGCAGAACATCGACGCACTCGAGGAAAAGTCAGGCCTTACCTTTGGAGTCCCGGAGCTCGACGTCAAACGGTCTAAGCCGCGTTCTACCAAAGGGAAGGCTGCTACTGCCGAACCTAGTGCACCCGCCCCTGAGGAACCGTCGACAAGCCGGCTACCATCACCCCCTGTGGAGACGCCCAGATGCATCCCCCTTCACGGCACTCTGCAGTTCATGCATTGCCAGACCTGCACGCACTCATTTCCTCTGCGTGACTACGTCGACTCTCTTAATACTGGGACACCCCCTGCTTGTCCTCAGTGCACTGCTATGGAGGAAACCAGACAGCTCGTTGGCAAGCGGTCCCGAGCTGTCGGCCGGCTACGCCCGAGCGTCGTACTCTACAACGAGGACCACAAGGACGGCGAGGAGGTTGGCAATGTCGTGCGGAAGGACCTTATGGGAAGCTCTAAAGGCAAGGGTCGCGCGGGAGCGGACCTTTTGCTCGTTGTGGGCACGAGTCTGCGCGTTCCTGGGACGAAGCGCATCGTGCGCGAGTTCTCCAAGGCCGTGCGTTCACGGCATGCTGCGATGAATACACCAGCCGACGAGCCCTCGACATCTGCCCACGGTCTCGTGACACCCACCCCGTCTCCTCGTCGGTCCCCAGTGGAGGATGAGGAGCCTCCCGTACGGACAATTTACCTCAATCTGGACTTCCCCGTTCCCACGAGAGAGTGGGATGGCGTGTTCGATGTATGGATACGCGGGGACGCTCAGACCTTCGCACGCATGGTGCAAGAGGAGCTCGAGCGGGAAGAGCAGGCCAAGGAAGCAGCTGAGGAACGCCGGCGTAAACGGAAAGAGGCTGCCGCAGAGACCGCGCGACAGGCTGAAGAGCAGGAGCGGCTAGCAGAACAGCGCTCTAGCCAGGACGTTGGCGGCAAGAAGGGCAAGAAGAGGAAGTCGGAGAACGGGGACGCCCATGCTCAACCGGTGAAGAAGCGGAAGACTGGCGCTCCACCGCTGTCTCCCGTGTCCCCGTCAAAGAAACCACGGAAAGCCGGAGCAAAGGACAAGGAGAAGAACAAGTCGCGGAAACGCGAAGACACTACGTTGCCCACTCCTCCCGTTTCCAAAGACGACCCATCGAAGCGTCTTGTCATCAAGGTCCCCGCCAGAGCCAAGCCGGTGCCAGAAGTGGTCATCACGACGACGCCGTCCAACGTACGTGACTGTGGGCCCCTCTCATCTCCGTTGTCTTCCCCTCCAATGTCGACCTGTCTCTCCCCGCCAGCTCTATCGAAGACGGCAAGTACGATGACTCCGCTGTCCTCGCCTCTTTCTTCGCCACCGCATTCCACCTGCGCAGAGTCGGTGTATGACCTCTCGCACATCAGCACCACCTTGTCGCAGATATCTTCTCCGCTCTCATCCCCTCCTGCGTCTATCGGCGTGCCCTCGCCACCTAAACCGAGCCGGACGATCAGCGCCACGACGCTGTCGCCCCTGTCATCACCACCGGACTCCCCCTATTTCGAGGAGCAGCAGCCGGCTTTCCGACGTCAAGAGCTGTCTCCTTCGCCATCACCGTCGCCCAGCAAACGGCGGCGGGTGTCGGGAGGTGTAGGCCAATTTCTCGGCGCTCGTCCCGGTACAGGGAAGGCGTCGGTCAAGTTCCCTCAGTACTCGTTAGGCCTTCACCAGCACGCTGACCTCTCTGGCTCGAGCGACGAGGGCGAGGATGCCCCTCGTGGCGATCCGGAGAGTCGTTATCCCATGTCGTACGTTCGGAGTCAGACACCTCCCATAGACCATCGTAGAGCAGGACACTGCCGATAAGGATACCACGTCCTAGCCATCCATCAACCTCGCGCATGCGCTTGAGTTGAGTTACACATCGCTACATCGCATCATCCTTGTACATTCACCGTGCACGACCAGTTTGACGGAACTGATGCTCAGAGCTTGCAGTTCGGCTACCTTATTCTTATTTGTACGACCAGACCGTGCACCTCATCCGACCCTCGCATATATGTATCATGGTGTACTTCCGAACACTTACGAGTACATTCCTCTTCCCAATAATCTATGAGCGTTCTGCTCTCCCTTCCGCATTCATCTTCCCCGGACTTGCTTTCCCCACAGATCTGTTGTCTTTTACGAGACCACTCAAAGCCCCTTTATGCGTTGTTCCCTCTGACCGAAGCAAACCTTCAATAGATTTTATCGAACTCGACGAGTTGCTCCGGTTGACACGAAACTATCATGATCGTCAAGAGATGCGACTTTGGTACAAAATTATCGTACAACATGTGAGTTTACTCCTCCTTTCAAGCCTCGACGAACCTAACAGCGAACCCTTCAGCGGCGGCCAACGGCTGCACCGATTTCAACGTCCGGCTGGGCATCGGAGACGCCAGTCTCATCGAATGCGCGGTCGAGGGCGCGCTCCTGCTTGAACGCGTCGACGCGATTGCCGCGGGTGTACCCACGGACGTTCCGCTCGTCGTCGGCGGTGTTCGACAACAACTCGTCGACTTCGCCTGACATAATTGAGATGTGAGAGAAGAACGATGAGCGTGCACTGGGAGGCAACATACCCCTGGGGATGGTCCCAGTCTCTTCAGAACGCTCCGCCTCGCGGTCTTCCTTCTGGTAGTCACGGAGCGTGGGCTGGTTGTCCGCGCCACGAGCGCCGACGGGGTGCATGTCGGGATCGGTGTCCTCGTCAAACGCAGCGTTGTCGGGGCGAGCGTCCGCCATGGGGTTGTAGGTCATGTTGTCGACCTCACGCTGTCCGGGAGGCAAGTTGTAGGGACCGCGCGACTGGGAAGAGTTGACCATGGTGAATTGTGACTAGCGGTGGTAGTGATGAGTATGTAGCGGAGAAAAGACTTTGCGGACAAGTCTGCGAGCCGCTTGGGTCTATATATCCTGGAAATTGGAGTCGCTTCCGTGCTGTAGAGCCTCTTGCGCCGCGTCCTCTGACCTCAGCTCGACGTCACGGCGCGGTAAGATCGTAGGACCCGCTTCTCTAGACTTACTATACATGGTTGTTCCCTTACCAAAAGAAGCATTCCCCGCCCCATCTCTGACGCGGATTCAGAGTACGCAACTCATGACGTCTGCAGACATGTATGAGAACGTTCTGCGATGTGCATCCTCTTGTTGAGCCAGTTCCGTCGTCCAAGTTTGCATCGAGAGTGAGCGGTCCTAGAGAGTTCCAGCGTGCTGAAGGTTCAGTAGGACTCGGATAAACGACTTTGCCATCCTGAACATGGCCGGCTGGCCTAATGGTTAAGGCGTCAGTTTCCGGTTTGAGAGTCTGGGTTCGAATCCCAGGTTGGTCGTTTTTGCTTCCCTCTCATATATGCAGACACATCGTAGCCAGCCCAGTGGTGTATATGCATGTGAGGCCTCTGCAACCTCATCAGAATGAACGTCCAGTGCTGTGGAGGGACGCTCGCGGCAAGATCGCGGTGTGACCATGTGATTGCCTCTTATAGAATAAAGGTCACGCGTTGTGGAAGTGAACTCTGCCGCATGCCCTGGAGTCTGCGGTCTTGCCTCCCTCCTTCATCTCCGTCTATTAGTATCAGCTCTAACCCCCCTTCACCCGCCGACGACTATCACGAGCTGAAGTGCCAGCACAATGTCGTTCTTCGGGAGCTCGACTTCGGGCACCCTCGGTTCCGCCGCTGCGGCAGAGAAAGATATCGAGGTTGCCGACCCACCGACCGACTCAATATCTAGCTTGGCTTTCTCACCGAGCGCGGACTACCTTGCGGTTGGATCCTGGGACAACAATGTGCGCTCTTGGAAGACTTTGACGCGTCACAAAGGACATGGACTAATGTGATATGCGGTTAGGTCCGCATTTACGAGGTGGGCACGAACGGCCAGACGCAGGGCAAGGCGATGTACCCGCACCAGGGGCCCGTGTTGAGTGTGTGTTGGAACAGAGTACGTAGCTTCTTTTCTTGAGAGGAGCAGGAGATATCGACCGTGGTGCGTGTCCTTTCAGGATGGATCGAAGATACTTTCCGGTGGCGCAGACAACGCAGGACGCATGTTCGACGTGACCACCGGCCAAGCATCGCAAGTTGCCCAGCACGACGCGCCGATCAAGGTTGTGCGGTGGATTGAATCCCCTCAGGGCAGCGTGCTTGCGACGGGTAGCTGGGACAAGACGGTCAAGGTGCGCGTCATCCCCTTCATGATCCCCATTCTGTCTCCCCTCATGTTGGCCGACGTGTGTAGTACTGGGACTTGCGCACACCGACCCCCGTATCCACTGTCCAATTGCCAGAGCGGTGTTACACGTTGGACGTCGTATTTCCGCTGATGGTCGTCGGCACCGCCGAGCGCCACATACAAGTCTTCAACCTTCAGAACCCCACCACCCCCTTCAAGGTCAGTCATCCCCCCCCTGGTCTTAGCCTTTGACTAACGTCTCATGTGTGCGTGATCCAGACATTGGTCTCGCCACTCAAGTGGCAGACGCGTGTAGTATCTTGCTTCCCTTCCGCAAACGGTTTCGCAGTCGGCAGCATCGAGGGGCGTGTAGCTATCCAGTACGTCGAGGAGAAGGACTCGTCGAACAACTTCTCGTTCAAGTGCCACCGTCGCGACCAATCTCCGACAACTAAGGACCAATCTCTGGTCTACGCCGTGAATGACATCTCCTTCCACCCCGTGCACGGTACCTTCTCTACCTGCGGTATGTCATTACACATGTCAACCTCCTTATTCCTTATTCTCCTTCAACTCAACTATTTTCGTGCATAGGCTCCGACGGCACCATCAACTTTTGGGACAAGGACGCCCGCACGCGTCTCAAGTGTACGTCACCCCTCCCCCCACCCTTTGTTTACTCAGCCTCGAGGCTCACTAAAGACCTCTCCTGCAGCATTCGAACCCGCCCCGGGTCCGGTTCCGTGCACGGCCTTCAACCGTACGGGCACGATCTTCGCGTACGCGGTGTCATACGACTGGTCGAAGGGCCACTCGGGCATGACGCCCGGCCACCCGAACAAGCTCATGCTGCACGCGTGCAAGGACGACGAGGTCAAGCGCAAGCAGACGAAGCGGTAAGGTGCGCTGCGGTGCGCCGCTGTTGGCGGTCGCAGTCCCTATACCGCGAGCCGACGTTGGGCTTGGCGCTTGTGGATGTGTCTCGTACTCGCCAGGTTGAGGTTGGAGGGGAGGGTGGGATGGAAAAGTACGTCGTATGTGTGGAACGCGATACACCCCGCTGTAACTTCATCGCCCTCGGCACTCCGTGTCGAGTTATCCCCTGTCTTGTCTTCTGTTCTGTTTCTTTCTATCTTTCTAGCATCATGTCCAATGCTATCGTGTTGTGCTGTATCCTCATCCGGACTGTCCGATGTAACACTTGGTGGACTACTTGCGACTAGGTCGGCGAAGACTCGTAGACCCATCGATTCGGCCAAACCCTAGACACGCGTCGCGCATGAAAGATAAGTATGTGGTGTGTCACATCGAAACAAGGCATGCATTAGATTGGGCTACACGACTCTGGAACTAGCGACGAATTAGATCCTCTTCTCCCTACAAGTACCTAGATGGCGCAGTGACGCCCCGTCCGCGCACGCGCGGAGGCGACGCGATGAGTAATAGTAATGTACATTTGACTGAGTCGTGGCGTATCGTGTGGAGGATAAACAACATGATAATGGATGGTATAATGCGATGGGCAAGCACGGAAGATGGGAGCACTGGACGGCATATGCAAGGCAGGGAGAGAGAGCTCTATAGGTGCTCACTGGTTCTTGCCAAGCGCCTCCTTTTGCTTCTGGGCCTCTGCAGCCTTGACCTCGCGCATGGGGTCGAGCTCAGAGGCTGGTTGCCGGTACGAGTTGCCCATGCGGTCTGCCAAGGTGAAGTACTGCCGAACGAGTCCGCGTCAGTATGCCTGCTGAAAACAGTTTGACGTCAGGCGATGGGCACGTACCTGGCCGTAGTTCACAGTAAAGTAGAGATGGTGCAGCGTATGGTGCGCAGGGCCGTTGATGATTTTCTCGAGAGGGTGATCGGTAATCATGTCCGAGTCGTGGATGAGGATGGACCAGAAGTTGACGAAGACGAAGAGCCCAAGGTACAGCTTGCGGTGGAGAGGGAAGAGGTGGATGAAGAAGTGGTAGGGGAGGGACTGGGCGTAGCCGTCGAGGGGGTGGAAGGCGTGCGACGCGAAGGGAGTAGGAACTGCGCGAGACCATCAGCACGCTACGAAGCAAGGGCGTGTGGGGCCAAGAAGCACAAATGACGAGTACTCACTGAGCCACTTGTGGTGGGGCTTGTGCAGCCACTTGTAGCAAATGGGGTTGTGCTCCCAGCGATGAATCCAGTAGATGCAGTAATCCGTGAACACCAGGAAGCTGCGAATGGTCATGAGCCAAATGTGACGTCTCGTAAGCTGTGGCGGGTACTCACAAGAATATGGAGAAGAAGATGTAGCCCCAGCCATACTCCGAGACATCGTCATAGAGCTTCGTGTGGCCGCGAACCTCGGCGAGGAACCAAGGGAGGGTGAGAGCAGTCATTCCTGGGAAAGCCTTCAAGCTGGACTGGATCTCGAGCTTGACCTGGTTCTTGAGGAAGCGTGGATGCTTCATCATCTCGTGGTTGAAGATGAACTTGTAGGAGAGGCCGGCGAAAATGAAGTAGAGGAGGTGGATGCCAACTAGGGTGATTGCCAGGAGGGAGATGATCTGGCGGGGCATGTAGTCTCGTGGCCATGCGGAGAGGACGTTGCCAGACTGGACGAGGGGTGCGGTGAGGAGCTCATTGGGAAGTGGTGGGTGGGGAATGTAGGAGATGAGCTGGGACCAGGCGGAGGGCTGGGAGGCCGGGGGCAAGACGTGAGAAGAGGCATTGTATAGGCCGGCTGCATTGGAAGAGGCGGTTGTGAACGCGGACACGGGAAGAAGCGCTGCCCATGCACGGTCAAGGACGTAGTCGTCTGCGAGCTTGAGGACGATGTCCATGTCGACGGGCTGGTGCTGGGCTAGACTAGAGTGGGTGTTGGCAAGCCGGCAGCAAGGAAGACGTCGGGAACGACGAAGAGAGGGACCGAGCAAGCCGTGTTGCTTATAAGCCAAGCGCGCATTCGAAAGTCGTCCCACTCGCCTTGAATTTTGACGTGCCATTCCGCATGTGATCAGATTAGATCATCCACATCTAATCTTGCCGCCGGTCGGCGATGGCGCGGCCCCCGGCGTGCGTGGAGGTTGCTGACCCAGTGTCCGTGCCGTACGCGTACGCTGCGCAAGGGTCGCCCGCCGACGTGCCCGGCTGCGTCGACGATGCCCCTCCGCCTCGGCCGCTGGCCATCTTGCAGCCCGCCTGCTGGATCGTGCGGAGGCGGAATCGCAGCGGGCGCCCCTGTGTGCGCACTGGGTCCGTCTGTGGAGGCCTAGTGGTGCCCGGCCAGGCCGACCTCCTGGGGGTCGTCTCACGTCTTCGTCTCCAGTGAATACAGAGCACCTCCTGCAATCGTACCACTCACCTCCAGCCGAGCCGACGTCGACGCATGCCGCTGCTGCCGGGCGCTCCCCCGCAATGGCCATTCCTGCACGCCTCGGCGAGTCGGCCCCGTCCTAGGCTCTGATAACGCCGCCAGGTTCGTCCATGTCGCCTTCCGCGCTGGTCTGGGGCCTCTTGCTCGAAATATGGGCGAGGTGGGAAGAGACAGGAGCGTGCAGGCCGCCTGAAGGCCTACATCCGCCCCAGGCCAAGAATTGTACGTCACTCTACCGATCGGTGCCATCTTCCCATGCTCGTGCTCACTCGTCTTTCAAGCAGGTTCGCGGCTTGTCTGCTAGGGCTCCTCCGGATCCTGGGATCTTGCAGCTTTGGCTTGCTGTACCCACGAGCAGCATGCGATTGCCTGTACGCTTATCCTATCAGCGGCCCCGGGACCTCAGACGCCTCAAGGTTCGACCTGCGGGGGATAGCATAGAGCAAAAGGTAACGAAGGGGGGTAACGGACCACCCAACACGTCCCTCATAGATAAGTACCCATGCCGTGTCACCGCATTCCGGAGCGAACACCACCATAACCAATTGCATGACTCCGACGATGGTGTCAAACTAAGGCAAGACGCCGTCGTCCAACGCTTAAAAGGCCAAGTTCCGCGATTGCTCTCGAGAAGCTGCTGCGTTGCGTCTTTCGCGGTGGCATGCCGTACACATCACGACCGTTCCTTTCAGCGTTGTAAATCGTACATTCCAGCATCGCGCAGCGTCTCCTGCTATATTTCACCGTGTATGTTTGGTATGGTATCATCCGCTCGAATTGACATCTATCGTCTAGATGTGTGCGAATTCGTCCGTTGCCTGGTGTGAATGATTTAACATGGTGGTGGATGGGACGACTGATGTTTGGAGAAGCCAACCTTTACAAGCAGCTTGCTCGTCCCGGGCTCGCGGGAAGAGTGGCCCGCGTCCGGCACGATGTGCAGCGTGATCTCCGGCCAGACCTTCTTCAGCGCGTACGCAGTCGTCGCAGGGCAGACGACGTCGTAGCGGCCTTGCACGACGACGCACGGGATGTGGCGGCTGCGTTGAGGATGTCTCAGCATCATCCAGGATGTACGCTACGCTGGACTCACATCTTATCGATCTCCTGCTTCTCGAGCAGTTGGCCGTCCCGCATGAATCCCTGAAGGAATGTGAGATGGCGATACTCACTCTAACACTAAGCTGGGCAATGTGTACGCACGTCGTTCACGAAGTAGTGGTTCTCGATTCTCGCAAATGCGCTGCAGAGCGACCTACGTCAGCACTGACAACGCAAGGGCGTATAGGGAACGAACATACTTGGACCAATCATTGTCGTCTGCCTCGGCGACCTGCTTCGGGTCGACGTGCAGCTTGGACGTCCACATCTCCCACTTGGTCCACGCACGCGCCGCGCGGAGGCGCGTCTCGTCGTCCTCGGAGTTGAGCTGCGCGTGGTACGCAAGGACCATGTCACCCCGCTCGGCCTCGGGGATGGGCGCGATGAATTCTTCCCTGTGGGTCTGAGTGAGGAGCGTATAAGATCCTAGTGCCTGAAGGGCTCTGACCATGCTTCGGGGAAGATGTGGGATGCGCCCTCTTGGTAGAAGAAGCGCAGTTCACTGTTGATATCTGGTCAACATCGCTGTTGGACGAAGCACAAGATGACAAACCTCTTGCGCAGCGTGAAGATGCCACTGGGAATACGCTCAGCCTCTACGCCCATCGGTGAAGTCGACCTGCACGTACCGAAGCACCAGCGTCTTCACTCGGTCGGGGTGGGACTGTCGATCACAAGTACATCAGCCTCCGAGCATACCGCGCGACAGGAACAGACCTACCTGCGCGTACGCAAGAGAGAGCGTCGAGCCCTTCAAGCAGCATAACACGTCACATCAACAAAAAATACACATGTGGCAGAAAGAACACACGACTCACCCAGGAGCCGCCAAAGACATGCCACTTGTCGATCCCAAGATGTTCGCGCAGCCTCTCAATGTCCTTGACGAGGTCCCACGTCGTGTTCTCCTCCAGCGATGCAGGCCTGCGCGATGTGACGTCAACGTTAGACAAAGCCGAAGGGCCCGGTTCACGCACGGCGTAGAATTGCCCGACCCCCTCTGGTCGAACAGGACGATCTGCATTCGGGGGGAGGGGGAGTCAGCCGGTGGTTAACGCAGCAGGTAGTTACGTCACGGCCGCGGCGCACCTTGTACTTGCTGGGATCGAAGAAAGATCGATCTATGGGATCGGTCCCGCCCCCGGGTCCCCCATGCAAGAACACGACTACGCACGCACAAATCAGCGGGACAGTCCTTTGATCGCAGCGTACCCACGAGTGACGAGATTGCGCGCGAACTCACCGGGATTACCGTCTTTCTTCCCGCTCAGCTCATAGCTGCAAGGGACGAAGGGCGGGTATTAGTGCCGAGCATCAATAGAGATCCAGGGACGTCCGCAGTGCGCGTACTAGAGCGTGTGCAGGTCGGAAACCTTGAGTTTCCCGGTCTCGTAGGGCTCGATCGGTGGATACATGTAGACCGTGCCGGTAGGACGATTGGTGCTGTGAAGTCTGCGGCTATGGGTGATCGGCCTGGTGCGTCCGATGGTGTTGCGTGCTTGATAAACGACACCCCAGCTGGACGATGGCCGTACTGGGTAGCCTAGACGGCGCGCTGCCCGGACACAGTTCAGGGCGAGAAGCATCTTGGATTAGTCAGACGCCGAGGTTCTGACCACCGTGACCTGAACCACTGGCATGGGAGCCGAACCCCACACGCAACTCTGCAACAACCACAGCCAGACGATACACATGTCAATGATGACATTACTGCCAGTGGGTTTGCACGCCCACAACATAAAAGTTGCATGGGCCATACGGCCCATGCCTACAATGATATATCATGCAAAACAATGATGAGAGTGGGATTCGAACCCACGCCCTTTCGGACCAGATTACGTCATATCATGTGACTGGCAACTTAGCCTTAGTCTGGCGCCTTAGACCGCTCGGCCATCTCACCCATGATCGCCAGCGCTGACTGCTATAATTGGTGTTGAAGAACGTTCCCTGGTCTCGTACGTCGGGGGTACGAGACCACATGATCCCAAGTTCGGAGACAACCAACCGTCTAGATGAAACCCACCCCCAGTTATCGAGGTTTTTCGAATTCGTCTCTCCGGGTTCAGCGACTACAACAGGCGCGGGTGTTCAGTATGTCTGTCCGAAAGTGGTAATAACATTGCCGTTCTTGGAAGTCACAGAATGATGTCATGGCCCCCGTCATTCGAACTGCATCTTGGAGAGAGCGGGTCTCAGCAGGTGCCAGTCTTGCCACTGCCAGAGTATATATACACGCCAGCTGGCTGAAGCACGACTCCGAGAACACCACGCACCATGCCAGCACACAAGAACTTGATCCGCATCCAGGCAGCCAAGCAGGAGTACGACTGGGGCAGGCAGGGCTCGTCCTCCCTCGCAGCCCGACTTGCTTCCAACGCTATCGGGCATGGCTTCCAGGTCGACGAGAACAAGTCGTATGCAGAGGTGCGCATGCTATTTTCTCTCCACAGCAGTGTAGGTTCTGACTATATATGTAGATCTGGATGGGCACTCACACCAATGGCCCCGCCCGCCTGTACGACTCGCCCTCTACACCACTCCTCTCCCTGATCTCCTCCGACCCCACCTTCTACCTGGGCGAGACGCTGGTGCAAAAATGGCCCTCCACCACCCACATTCCCTACCTTTTCAAAGTACTCTCCATTCAGAAAGCGCTCCCTCTCCAGGCACATCCCGACAAGGACCTCGCTAAGCAGCTCCAGCTCAAAGATCCCTCCAACTTCGTCGACTCGAACCACAAACCCGAGATCGCCGTCGCGATCGGAGAGCCGCTGGCGACTACTCGCTCAAAGGTCGCCAAACGCCAGGGAGACGAGCAAGAAGTCGTCGGCGACACAGATACTGCTTTCACCGGGTTCGTCGGCTTCCGCCCACTCGAGGAGATCAAAGGATTCCTACAAGCGGTCCCGGAGCTTGGCGAGGCCATCGGAGATTCCCGCCTCGTCTCCTCATTCATTCACAGCCCGTCTAAGGATCTCCTTCGTCAGATCTTCGGCAAGCTGCTCAAGCGTGGGGTGGAGGCCCGAGAGGAGCTCGTAAAGCCGATCTCCCAGCTGCAGGACCGCATCAAGCAAAGCGGGGGCAACCTCGGCTTCTATAACAGCGAGGAGCTCGCGAGGCTCGTGCTCAAGGTGAACAAGCAGTACCCCGGCGACGCCGGTGTGCTTGCGACCACGTTCTTCATGAACTTCGCGAAGCTCCGGAAGGGAGAGAGCATCTACATCGGCGCGGACGAGATCCACGCCTACCTCGAGGGCGGTGAGTCTGACATGTACTTAGTCCGTGAGTTTCCTGTACACTGGCTGACAAGTCGCCCGTCTAGACATCATCGAGTGCATGGCTGTCTCCGACAACGTCGTGAACGCGGCCTTCGATGAGCCCTCCTCCCTCGCGTCCCAAGTCGACACCTTCGTCAACATGCTCACCTACACGGCGCGTCCTGTGTCGCACTGGTCGCTCCCTGCCCAAAAGTACCAGCACGCAAAGTCGGGTCGGACCGTGAAGTACGACCCGCCGATCGAGGAGTTCATCGTCCTAGGCACGTTCCTCAGCATGAAGAATGCTAAGGAGGAGCACCTGGGTGCGGTCGACGGCCCGACGATGGGTATCGTGACGAGAGGCAAGGTCAGGATCAGCACCAACAAGGGCGGCGAGACGGAGCAGCTCGAACTCGACGAGGGTGCGGTGGTGTTCGTCGCTGCGAAGAACGAGATCAACGTGGAGATCCTCGAGGGACATGGTCCTGACGAGGCGGGTGAGGTGTGGTGGTCGCTGTTTGGCGCATGAAGCCTACCGGATAGGCCACAGAAGCATACCAGTTCACTGTAACATACACCCGCTCGCATTGTATTATCGAACGCAAGCATCTACAGACCCTTTGCATTAGAAAAATAGAATACAACAGCACCTCCAACATAAGTAGATCCGCAAGTTCGATACACCATAGACGTACGTCTAGACATACAGCCACTTTCCGCGCGCCGACGCCCATTTCGGGAGCTCCACAGTGCTGACGGTCTCGAAGTGACGGCGGATGGAACGCCGGAGAGCAGGACCGTCCACCTCGCCATTGAGGTCCGGGGTCATGGGTGGGGACAGCGGCGGCGTGTCGTCGTCCTCGTCGATAACGATGTCATCGTATGGCGACAGGATACCCAGACCAGAGCCACCGACGGAGGTGACGTACGGCTGGTAGCCTGCTGATTCAAGCGACTTGATGAGCGACTGGAGCTTCTCGTGGGCGAATTCTGCACAGAGATCCTAATCAATACCACTGTCGATGGGACGCGCGAATAGTATCTTACCATCAGGAACGAGCGTGATGGCGCAGCCTCCGCCCCCCGCACCGGTCAGCTTGGTGCTGAGACGGTAGGGTGCGCCAGCCGTCTTCGCGCGGATGACCTCGAGCGACGGGTGCGAGACACCGAGCGATGCAAGGTGGACGTGGTTCTCGTCGATGAGAGACTACAGAAACAGTTCAGCGTAAACATTCAGCAACGAGTACGACATTCCACGTACCGAGAGACCGGCGAGAAGAACGTTACGCGGCACCTCAGGATCCGCGAGTGCACGCCGTGCCTCGTTGCTGATCACCTGGATAGCGTCGAGCAGCCTGCCCACATGCTCGGGCTCTGCCGCCTTCTTCCTGGCAACGCCAGCGACAAGCGCCTTCGTGTCTCGCGGCACCTTCGAGTCGATGAGCAGGAACCGCAGCGACTTGAAGCCCTGGATCTGGTCCATGCCGCTGCGCTTCCCGAACCCGGGACGCACATACGCGAGAGCGCCTCCGAAGACCGCCACGGAGTTGTCGACCCCAGAGGGGTTCCCGTGCAGCACCTTCTCGGCGACAAACGCCCAGCGGTTCGTCTCGTCTGCGATATCTGGGGGGATGGCGCGGCGACCTCCATGCGAGACATGGATGTGGCCAGGCTCGTTGTCGGTGGGCTCGCGGGAGGGTGGTGGGACGGCTGGGAGCTCGATGCGACCGTGGAGGATGAGGAGGGCGGTGGCAATGCAGACCGAGAAGGAGGCAGACGAGCCGAGGCCGGCACCGATCGGCAGACTTGAGCGACAGACGAAGTGGAAGGATGGCCTTTGATATTTGTGAGCACTTTACTGCCATCCAGTCGCTTAGAAGTGCCGTCGATAACTCACCTGCTACCAGCACTAGTCATCATCATGTACAGATAGAGGAAGGCAATGGCTGCTGCGTGGGTCTTCGGAGGCATCTTGTCCTCTGGTGGAAGAGCCCTAGCCTTGATAGCATCTATGACGCGCTGATCCAACGTGTCGGGATGAACTTCGCCGTTGGGTATGGGAACCACTGCGTCCCAAGGCAACTCGTCAATCTCCCACTCGTGCTTGTAATTGTTGATATCCGCAAAGTGTACTGAGACTTTGCCGTCGTAGCGTGGAGACGTGAGACCGTAGCAACGAAGGTCCACAGAAGCAGCCACAGCAGTCTGTTGGGCTGTCTCAATGGCTGCTACATATACGATTAGAACAGAGACTACTCACAACACCATGGACGACTGCGTGTTCACCGAACAAAATGACCTTGCCGGGAGCACTGACGAACCATTCGCGGTGGTCCAGGGGACGGGCAGTACGCGCCTCGCCAAGTGCGAGCTTCTCAACAGCCCGGCTGATGGGGTTCGGAATGCGGATGTAGTTGTTGGCAGCGAAGGTAATTGCGCCGGCTTCAATGAGGGCATGGCGAAGATCGTCCAGGAGATCCGCAGGGTCCTCAATGCCGACACACAGACGGATCAAATCCTCCGGAAGGCCACGGGCCGCGCGGGTAGCCGGATCGATGGAAGCGTGCCTAGTCCGAAGGATTAGCGAGCGGACGGCGGACACCACGAGCGAAGGTACACTTACGACATCACGCAGGGCATGCTGATGAGACTGTTGACGCAGCCAAAGCTGACACTGATCCCCCACAGACGAGTAGCTGCGACAATACGCTCACTCAACTCCTTGTCTCCAGTCTCGAAGGAGAGGACAGCGCCGTAACCTATACATTACCTACGTTGAGTAAAATGTAATCAAATAGTCAGAAGTGAACTCACCGTCAGATATCCTGTCGTGAATTTCCTTGCCAGGGTGGTTGGGCAGACCAGGGTAGTGGGTGACGAAGCCGAGCTTCGACAGCATCTGCGCAACAAGCATGGCGGTGGATTGCTGACGGTCCATGCGGATAGCGAGGGTCTTTGTGCCGCGGAGAAGGAGGAAGGAATCGAAGGGAGTGAGCGCGTTCCCAACAGAGTTGATGATAAAGGCCATTTCCTGCAGACGAATATGTGAGTAGGACGTAAGATGTTGGTTTGCATGCCTAGAGCGTACCTTCGCAAGGTCGTCGCGGTTGCACGTAATAACACCAGCCATCAGGTCGTGGTGTCCACTCAGGTACTTCGTCGCGCTGTCGTAGACGATGTCCGCGCCGTGTTCCAGAGGCCTCTGGAGGTACGGACTCATCATGGTGTTGTCCACCACAACAACTGCATCCTCGCACTTCTCCTTCACCAGAGAGCTAATACCCGCGATGTCGACTATCTTGAGCAACGGGTTCGTCGGAGACTCCAGAAGTACCATGGCGGTCTTGCCAGGATGAAGGTACGGAATCACACTTTCCGCCTTGGTGGTGTCAACATGGTGCACCGTGACACCCATGTGCGTGCGGAGGTAGGTGAGCAGGCGATTGGTACCGCCGTACAAGTCGTCGCCCGCAATGATCTCGCAACCTGGCTTGAGGAGACGCGTGATGACGTCCAAAGCGGCCATGCCGCTCGAGACCGCGAAGGCATGAGCGGCAGAGGAGATCTTTGCGATGTGGTGCTCTGCGCAGGAGGGCGTCAGTTTAGGACAATGTCATACGATTCTCCGGGAGTTTGTGCGGGC